CGTCTCATGTGTTAGTGGTAGGATGCAAATCCATATAATCCCTATGGGAGGCAATCTGCCCACATCTCCCCAAATTATAAATCTATTTGCTCTTTGAACCAGCAATCCCATTCCCAAAAATTTAACCTACAAATAAATTGGCACACATCTGCAGTGACATATGTAAGGTAATCTACTACATTATTTTTCTCTGCAAATAAGTCAATGTCCTGCGTTATAAAATGGTACATCTACACAATAAAACACTACACACCTATAAAAAAGAACACAGAAGTTTTTATGTATTGACGTGTAAACACAGCCACATGACTATGAAGTGAGTAAAGCACAGAACAGTGCATATAGTATGCTTTTTCTTGTATGAAAGGAGGAAAATGAGAATATTCATAACTTCCTGTATTTCCATGTAAAAACACTGGAAGGAGCCTGGTGCAGTGGCTCAAGCCTGTAATCCTAGTACTTTGGGAGGCTGAAGAGGGTGGACCACTTGAGTCCAGAAGTTCAAGAACATCCTAGGCAATATGGTGAAACCCTGTCTCTACCACAAAAGTGCTAAATTCAGCCACGTGTGGTGGTGTGCGCTTATAGTCCTAGCTACACAGGAGGCTGAGGTGGGAGGATCACTTGAGACCCGAAGGCGGAGGACGCAATGAGCCAAGATCATACCACTGCACTCCAGCTCGAGCGACAGAGCCCGCCTTGTCTAAAACGGAAAAAAAAAAAACTACTGGAAGGATACACAACAAATGAAAGTCATCTGTAGAGAAGGGATGCAGGGGAGAGATGAGGTCATAGGTGGAATTAAGACTTTTCATTTCAGTTACATATCAAGTGCAATGTAATGCCTGTTAATAATATAAAATATTTTTTTTTTTTTTTGAGACGGAGTTTCACTCTTGTTACCCAGGCTGGAGTGCAATGGCACGATCTCGGCTCACCGCAACCTCCGCCTCCTGGGTTCAGGCAATTCTCCTGCCTCAGCCTCCTGAGTAGCTGGGATTACAGGCACACGCCACCATGCCCAGCTAATTTTTGTATTTTTAGTAGAGACTGGGTTTCACCATGTTGACCAGGATGGTCTCGATCTCTCGACCTCGTGATCCACCCGCCTCGGCCTCCCAAAGTGCTGGGATTACAGGCTTGAGCCACCACGCCCGGCCATAAAATATTTTTTATTAAAATCACTGCTTTGGACAATAATTTCTTAGGAAGTTAAACATGCAATTGCCATGCAACTCAGCCACTGTACTCCTGGTATGTCATTTCCAAGAGAAATGAAAACATATGTTAATGAAAAGACTTGTATGTGATTCCCACAGCCCACTGCTAGTAACAGCAGAAAAGAGAAACAGGCTGGGCGTGGTGGCTTATGCTTGTAATCCCAGCATTTTGGGAGGCCAAGGCAGGTGGATCACCTGAGGTCAGGTGTTTGAGACCAGCCTGACCAAAATGAAGAAACGCTGTCTCTACTAACAATACAAAAATTAGCCAGGCGTGGTGGCACAGGCCTGTAATCCCAGCTACTCGGGAGGCTGAGGCAGGAGAATCGCTTGAATCCAGGAGGCAGAGGTTGCAATGAGCCAAGATCATGCCATTGCACTCCAGCTTGGGAAACGAGCAAAACTCTGTCTCAAAAGAAAAAAAAGAAAAGAGAAACAACCCCAATATCCCTCATCAGGTGAAACCAATTGTACTCCATCCATACAACATCATACAATGAAATACTACTTGGCAATTACAGGAGCCAACTATTGATACATGTAACAACATGGATGAATCTCAAAATGGTTATGTGAAATTTTTTTTTTTTTTTTTTTTTTTTTGAGAGGGAGTTTCGCTCTTGTTACCCAGGCTGGAGTGCAATGGCGCGATCTCGGCTCACCACAACCTCCACCTCCTGGTTTCAGGCAAGTCTCCTGCCTCAACCTCCTGAGTAGCTGGGATTACAGGCACACGCCACCATGCCCAGCTAATGTTTTGTATTTTTAGTAGAGATGGGGTTTCACCTTGTTGACCAGGATGGTCTTAATCTCTTGACCTCGTGATCCACCCGTCTCGGCCTCCCAAAGTGCTGGGATTACAGGCTTGAGCCACCGCGCCCGGCCGGTTATGTGAAATTTTAAAGCTTCTAAAAAAGAGCACATAATTATGATTCCATCTATACAAAATTCTAGAAAATGCAAACTAGTGATAGAAAATATCAGCAGTTGCCAGTGGGTAGGGTGTGGGGAAGGAAGGAAGCCTTGCAAAGAGGCAGGAAGAAATTTTTAGGACACAAAAACACTCATTATCTTATTTTGGTGATATTTTCATGAAAAAATACAGACGTTAAAACTTCTAACTGTACATGTACGGTACTATAAATCAATTATACCTCAAATGCATACAGTATTGTATATCAGTTATAACTCAATAAAGTTGTATAAAAAAAAAACCCACAATGCAATTGAGGTGATGGGGAAGGAAAGAACTAAATCTACAGGTATCTGGTTTAAAATATCTTAAAAATATAATGAAAAAAAGCAATCCTACATTTTGGTTATGGACACCTTTTTTTTAAAATGTCCAGTGGAGAGGACTGACTGACTTATTAAACAGAAGAGAGGGAGAGGAAATTTTAAAAATTTGAAAGACTCGAAGTCATATAGGGTATGTTCCCAGACCACAATGAAATTAAACTAGAAATTAATATCAGAAAGCTGGAAAATCTAGAGATTAAACAATAGATTTTCATACTACTATTTTTTTTTTTTTTTGAGACAGGGATGTCCCTCTGTTGTCCAGGCTGGAGTTCAGTGGTGCAATCCTGGCTCACTGCAACTCTGTCTCCAGAGTTCAAGTGATTCTCCTGCCTCAGCCTCCCAAGTAACTGGGATTACAGGTGTGCACCACCATACATGGTGCCTGCCACCACGCCCAGCTAATTTTTTTGTATTTTTAGTAGAAACAAGGTTGGCAAGGCTGGTCTCAAACTCTGGACCTCAAGTGATCTGCCCACTTCAGCCTCCCGAAGTGCTGGGATTACAGGTGTGAGCCACTGCACACAGCCTAAACAGCACTCTTCTAAATAACCTATGAGCCAAAGAAGTCTCAAGGAAACTAAAAAATATTTTGAATGAAAAAGAAAACAACTATAACATCAAAATTTAGGGGATGCTGATAATGCATCCCATAAAAAGCATTTGTGCTTACAGAAAAATGTATAGCACTTTATGTATATATTAGAAAAGAATATCTTAATCATCTAAGCTCTAGGTTCCCCTCCCACAACAGCATGGGAGCTGTCTTCTTTCTCTGTGTGTCAAAAAAAACAAAACAAAACAAAAAATTCCTTGAAACACACTAACTACCAAAAGGCAAACACGCAAGGCCTGCAATAATAAAAAATGTGAGAAAGCAAGACGGCTTCCAACCTCAACTCCAAGGGGCCACATTCGCTGGGGGAAAGAGTTGGCAACACAGTGTGATGGGTAATGAGAGTGCACAAAGGGCCAGCTGGGAAGGCTTCAAAGAGGAAGTGTGTTGAAAAGACAGGGAAGGACACTTTCACCAGGACCTCACAAGGGTGCCTCAAAACCAGGAAGTCCACAGTGTTACGGACTGAATTGTGTCCCCCTCTGCCCTCAAAACTCATATGCTGAAATCCTAACCCCAACGGCCTTGGGTTGTGATTATTTGGAGATAGGGACTTTAAAATGGCAATTAAGTTAAAATGAAGCCCTGAGAATGGGCCTTAATCCAGTATGAATCACGTCCTTGTAAGATTAGCATACAGATGACACAGACACCAAGCACTCCTGCACAGCGTGACCACCATGTGAAGACACAGCAAGAGAGTGGTCACCTACAAGCCAAGGAGAGAGGCCCCAGAGGAGACCAACCTTCCCAGCACTTTGATTTTAGACTCCTAACGTCTAGAACTGTGAGAATATAAACTTCTGCTCTTTAAGCCACCCAGTGTGTGGGACCTTGTTATGGCAGCCCAAGCTGAACTCATCCTCTTCTCTCCAAAACCCATTCTTTCCCACAATCCAACATCCACCCCAAAGAAGAGCCAGAAATCCCACCCTCACACTTCACATTCAATTTGGCACCAGGACCTGTCCATTTTACTACCCAGCTCTTTCCTATCCAACACTTCTTACCCAGATGACCTGCAGCAACCTCTTCAATAGTTCCCCACGTCCACTCCAGCCATGCTCCCAATCCTCTCTCCCACCGCCCCCAGAGAGATGGCTTCAAAACACAAATACAACCTGTCATACCTCACCCCACCCCTACCCTTTATGGCCCTTAGTGGCGGACCATAGCTTTTAGAACAGAGACAAACTCTGTACCATGGCCTGTCGAGCTCTGCCCAGCCTCCACCTCTCTCTGCTCCCCAGCCTCACTGGCTTTCTTCAGGTCCACGAAGGAACGAACCATGCTCTTTCTCACCACAGGGCCCTTGCACACGTTGTTTCCTGGAATGCGCTTCCATCGCCTGCCCAACTTCCCTTCCATCATTTGGCTAACTTCACTCACTCTGATGTCTGGCTTAAGCACCACTTCCCTAGAGACCCTCTGGGACTTCCCCTCCCAAGTCTGAGTCACTTTCCTTTATAATAAGCACTTGAAGAATTGAGTTCCTTTCCTACAGAGGCTTTCTCAAGAGTTGATAATGAAACACTCTTTTGTGAGATTCTTCATTTGATACCAGTCTCCTCTACTCAGTGGGAAGCTCTGGGAGAGCAAGGACCTTTGGTTCACCATCAAGTCTTGGACCTGGCACAAAGTAAGTCTCAAGTGATGCTTACTGCATGAATGGACAAATGGAATTAGCGAGAAGTGAGGGAGACGGCACTTCACGTGTAGGAAAAAAGATGCTTGAAACGTCTGCCAAGACCACCACTCCTGTAGTTTGGCGAGGTCCAAACAGTGCCGTCTGTGAATACATAAGACGGCAGGAGGACCCCAAAACGAACACCCCCATCACACACTCATGCACATCAGGTACATACCCAAATTCTGGAAGGTCTCTGTCAAAATGCACACTTTCCTCATAGAAGACATTCATCTCAGCATCAACAGCAACAACCTTCACCTGAAAGGCATTGTTTAAAATGAAGTGTAGAATTTTCCTCAGCTTTTACATTGGTCCATAGGGTACTAACATCACAACAGGAGGCCCACACCCTAGAAGTAGTTCAGCCAGAGACCTCCTTGAAGGCAGGACTGCCTCACCATAATCGTGGTAACAGAGGACTCATCTGGGGTGACACGCAAAGGTTTAGCAAAATGAAGAAACTGATGCTAAGTAGAAACACCAACATGTCTCAAGGAATCTTTGTTCTCCAAACAGCCAAAGCCAAGACCCATTTTGAGTAAGGTGTTCACAGAGCCTTGGTTCCTGCACCTGACAAGGAGGTGGGAGAAAGTGCCAGAGAGGAAGGAATGGGGAGCAAGGTTTGGAAGCATCTATTGGGGGTCCATGTCTGCAGGGGCCTGACACCAGGCAAGGCCGTGGGCTGTTCCCACAGGCCATGATTGTGGTTCAGGGACGTTAATGTCCCACTGAAGCAACCTCCAAGCTCGGGAGTATAACTCCTTTCCTGGACAGATGAACTGAGGTCTAACAAGGCAACGCAAGTCAGCCAGCGTCCCACAGGACTTTCCCCTCGAGGACTGGCCAGAGGCCTGCCTCCCGTGTCCCATTGGAGAAGAGGGGTTTGACTGCAACTGTGTATATTTCCCAAGTACTTTAAAGCGAAAGGTGCCCCTGGTCACCCCATGCCCAGTTTGAAGGCAAATTTTGATTGGCTTGCCCGACTGCAGAGCCCTGGCAGCGGCACAGCGCTCCTCTGGCCAACAGTCCTAGGTCCGTAGACCTGGCAAGCTGGTGCCAACAAAGGGCGGTCACAGGGTAAAGTCCATTTGTACAAGGTACACACGTCCCCCTTTCTTTTTTTTTTTTTTTTTTTTTTTTTTTTTTTTGAGACAGGGTCCAACTCTGTCACGCAGGATGGAGAGTGATGGCGCCATCTTAGCTCACTGCAACCTCCACCTCCTGGGCTGAAGCGAGAGCCCAGCTTCCAGAGAGGCTGAGACTAAAGGTGTGCGCCACCATGCCCGGCTAATTTTTGTATTTTTTGGTAGAGATGGGGGTTTCTCCATTGCCCAGGCTGGTCTCGAACTCCCGGAATCAAGCGATTCACCCGCCTCGGCCTCCCAAAGCGCTGGGATTACACGCAAGAGCCACCAGGCCCGGCCCATTTCACTTAAAAAGGTTTTGGGCTCGGATCTGTTTCCAGGGCACTGGCCGCCTGTGCGCACGGCTACCCGCCTGTCTGTTCCCCAACCTTACAGCAGCTGACTTCCTTGGGGTCCCCGTCACTCGGTGCCCATGACAGCGCATGAACTCGCCGAGTCCTCCGGCCCCTCATGGGAGCGGGGGTCCTGCCGAGGGGCGCCTGCAGTTTCCTGGGGTAGCGGAGTCCAGGCAGGGTCGAGGTCGCCTCTTGCGAAGCGGGTGGCACTGGCAGGGCATCTCCGGGCGAGGGCGCCGACGCCCCACGGCCGCACGGGGGGCAGGGGCGCAGGGGGCCCGGGGAAGCCCGAGACGGAGGCGCGCCCGCGGCCGGGCCAGTGTTTTCCCGCGTCCGGGTGACAACCCGCCCGCCACCGCCGGCGCAGCGGAGGAAGAGGCCCCGGACCCCACGGCGGCGCGACTGTACCTGCTGCGTGCTGAAGTCCCAGCCCAGGCAGCAGCGGCGAGGAGCGCTTTCCGCCATGGCCCTGGCGGGGCCGGCTGCGCGTCCGTCCGTCCGTCCGTCTGTGCGCCCCGCGGCGTGACTGCCGCCGCGCTCCAGCGCGCAGAGACGCACGGGCCCGCCCCTCGCTCCGCCCGGCCAGGACTGCGGACCCGAGTGGAGGCGGGCTTGCGCTCTGGCGCCGCCTGCGGGGCGAGCCGGGACCGCGTCCTGCGCAATCGACGGCGCTCCGCGCAGCCCGCTCCCCTTCCCAGCGCAGCGCCTCGGGTCCTCCCCACGCTCGTCTTGTCTCTGCATGGGCCTCGCCCCTTCGTGGCCTGGCTTCCCTTAGAGGACGCCTGGGCCGGAGGTTTCAGCTGTAAGCTGGCTTGTCCCTCAGAGGGACCCTGCCTAGCCCGCTGGAGGCCCTGGACCTGCGGTCTTCTGTGGCCGTATCTCGGGCACTGGAGCAGCTGTCCACCCACCCGCCAGATTATCCTTAAAAGCTCTGATTCCCAGATGCTCAGGGAGACTGATTTGAGTAATAATAAAACTCTGGTCTCCCTCACAGCTGCCTCTGCGTGAATTACTCTTTCTTTGTTGCAGTCCCCCTGCCTTAATAAATTACTGGCTCTGTCTCTACACAGTGGCGAGGTGAACCTGCTGGGTGGTTATAACTCCTTTGCTCAGATCATTGGAACACTCCTTCTTTTGTGCAGAATGAGGTGTTGCCTAATTCTAGAATCACAGATAAAATCCATTTAGGATCTTTAAACTAGATTTGTTGTAATTTTGTCTTTTGACGGGAGATACCAGCTCCCAGTAAGAGTGGGTTAGGTTGCACAGAAAGGGCTCAGAGTAGACAGATGAACCCCCATAGGGAGCTGTAAGGATATCAAAGACACAGAAAGAGACCATGAGAGGGGCATAGTGGTGGAAGCCACTAGAACAAGCTTGTCCAGCCTGCAGGACATGGGCCACATGTGGCCCAGGATGGCTTTGAATGCAGCCCAACACAAATTCATAAACTTACTTAAAACATTATAAGATATTCTGGGGGATTTTTTTTTTTTTTTTTTTTTTTTTTTTTTTTTTTTTGCTCATCAGCTATCATTGGTATATTTTATGTGTGGCCCAGGGAAGCCAAAAGATTGGACACCCCTGCACTAGAACCCTCCTGGGGGATGGGGCTTTTGACAGGGTCAAGTGCTGCCTAGGAGCCTCTCGCTCTGGTTTAGCAGTAAAGAGGGTGGGCCTTTGAAACCAGCAAGAGGAGGCCCATAAACCTTACTTCGTGCCTTTTAGCCTGAGCTGCGTTCACAAATTACCACAGACTAATGGCTTAAAGGCAGGTATTTATTTCCCACCGTTCTGGAGGCTGGGAATTCTAGCATCAAGGGGCTGGCAAATTTGGTTCCTGGTGAGGGCTCTTTTCCTGACTTGTAGACAGCAGCCTTCTTAATGTATGCTCACACACAACCTTATCTCCCAGCGTGCATGTGGGGAGAGGGAAAGCGTTCTCGTCTCTTCCTCTTCTTAAAATGTACTAATCCCATCATGATGTCCCCATCCTGACCTAATCTAGATCTAATTACCTCCCAAAGGCCCCATCTCCTAATACCATCACATTGGGGGTTAGGACTTCAGTGAATTTTGGAGAGATACAAACATTCAGCTCATAACAGTTTAAACACTTTTAAAATTCAGCACCATTTTGAAAATTTATTGACAATGCCATGTATATAGCTAATCTTGTGGTTCCCACACTATGCACCAAGGTGCTCTGGGAAGCTGCAGGGAACCCACAGAGGTGCTCTGGGATATTTTCCATTTTGTGGTGAAACAGTGATGCAAAACATCTGTCAGGCATCATATGCACTGCTAATTTGAGGTGGTTCACAGTTCCACCAGTAGACCGCTACATTCCTTTCCATCACATTTTATTTTTGCAAAGCTGTATTTTCAGCAGGTGCAGTGACAATCAGATACTGCATGAAAATCAAGGGGAAACAAAATAAGGGCACAGTGTTCAATCTGACCCCAACATTTGAGAAGCCGCACGGTACCCCACAGGCCCATCCACCACATCCCCTCAGTAAATAAGTCTGGTTATTTAAGAATGAAATATTATTTTTTTCTCCAATACGTGTGTATAATTTTCTTCAAACAGGTACTAGTGTGTTGGGACATAAATACATATTAAGCTCTTTGCACCATCTACTTAATAACAGAACAGAATGGCTAGCCAGAGCCATTAGCGATTTCTGGAGACATTGGTGAGACTCTAAGAGCGAGTGAAGTAAGAATGTTTGGGAACCCCTGGTCTAGTTGATCATATTTGTTAGTAAGTCGACACCACATTTTATTATCCAGGCCCCAGTGAGCAACACCTGGGTGGAGTACAGTTCAGTGCAAATAGCACTACATGGAACGTCCTCCTCCAGGGCCCTATGGACCTGTGCGAGAGAACGTTTCTGGGCTTTGTGTCTGAGAGTAGGATTTATATAATGTGTGCATGACTGATTGGACCAGAAAGTGCTGGAGTACTCCTGAGAATGGCTGTGCCAGTCAGCGATCCCGCCTGGAATGCATGAGGCTACCCCATCTTCACACCCTATATTTAGTACTTGGCATTTCCTACCTTCTAATTTTTTGCCGGTCTAATAGATGAGAAGTGGTTTCTCTTACTGTTGTAATTTGTGGTTTTTTTCCTCATTATTGATGAATTGGAGCATCTTAATATAGACTCATTAGCCACTCAGGATTTCTCATTCAGTGAATTCCACACTTATCCTTTGCTCATTTCTCCATTGGGTGTTTTTGTCTCTTTCTTGTGGATTTGCAGGAATTTCTGGATATTTCAAGATCTAAACCTCCTGTTCATTTTAGATGTTGCAACTATCTTCTCCCAATATGTCATTTATCTGCTAACTTGATCCAACCAGCCATTTGTTGACTATCTTTAATTTGAATATAATAAGATCCATCAATTTTTTTGCCTTATTGTCCAAGTTATTTGATCTTAAGAAGTGCTTTCCCACCCTCAGTCCACAAAGGTATGTTCCTACATTTTCTACAAAGACATTAGCTTACATTTTTTTTTCTATTAGCAAGATCTTTGAGTTTTGCATTATTGAATTTTCTTTGAATCTAGGCATTTTTCAGCTGAATAAATTACCATCATAACAGAAATCAGTAAAAATGAATCCACGGATAAGCACTAGATGTAAGCTTTTCAGAGAAAGAAAACACTTTTCATTTAGAAAACATAATAATGAAAATGTATTATAAAATAAGAAAAAAGAGACAAACATTAATCCAATTCTTATACACTGGCCTCCAATGAAACAATATCAGAACATTTCTTTGAGGTTTGCAGCCATGTGAAACACGGATTTTTCTGAAGGTAAAACATAATCTTGGCAAAGATCCTTAAGAAAATGTGCTTTCTTCTTAAAGATGCATTATTTTAAAATTCCAATATGCTTTATTCTGTTAATTCTTTATTATGCTTTATTTATCTGTTAATTGCAGGCTAGTTTTTTTTGTTTTTGTTTGTTTTTTGAGACAGAGTCTCACTCTGTCACCCAGGCTGGAGTGCAGTGGCTCGATCTTGGCTTACTGCAACTTCTGCCTCCCAGGTTCAAGCAAGTCTTCTGCCTCAGCCTCCCGAGTAGCTGGGAATACAGGTGCCTGCCACCACACCTAGCTCATTTTTTGTGTTTTTAGTAGAGACAGGGTTTCACCATATTAGCCAGGATAGTCTTGATCTCCTGACCTCGTTATACGCCAGCCTCGGCCTCCCAAAGTACTGGGATTACAGGCATGAGCCACTGTGCTTGGCCAGAATGAATAATTTTAAAAGTAAAATATTGGGAGTATACTAGTAGCTTAAATTTTTATTTCTTCTACTTCCCAGGCAAAGATAAAATTACTGAATTAAAAATAATCAGAGGGCAGGCACAGTGGCTCATGCCTGTAATCCCAGCCCTTTGGGAGGCCAAGGAGGGCGGATTACAAGGTCAGGATATTGAGACTATCCTGGCTAACCCGGTGAAACCCCGTCTCTACTAAAAATACAAAATTAGCCAGGTGTGGTGGCGTGTGCCTGTAGTCTCAGCTACTTGGGAGACTGAGGCAGGAGAATCCCCTGAACCCAAGATGCGGAGGTTGCAGTGAACCGAGATCGCACCACTGCACTCTAGCATGGGTGACAGAGCAAGACTCCATCTCAAAATAAATAAATAAATAAAATAACCAGAAATTAGGGAATAAATGAGACAAATCAATTATAATTCAGAATCACTAATTGTATGTATCTGAAATGCTATAGCATGTATAGAAGATTTCATCTTGTGATATGTTGGAAATGAATATTTCTTCTGTCCATTCTATACCAGAGGCAGTAAAATTCTTCGTAAGATCAGTGCAAAGCTCTTACAAGTGAAAATAAATGTTTCAAACTACAGCCCATAGCAGGGCAAATGTCACACAGATTTTGTTTGTCCAGATTTGAGGGTGGGGTAAGTCTGACTCCAGTTAAGTAAGTCACTCATGCAGCTGAGGTTCAAATTTTTAAAAGCTGATTTTGGGTTTGTTTCTGGAGAAAAGCTTGATGGACTTTGCTATTGAAGCAAAGTCCAGAGGGCTTTGAGGAGAAAAGCTTTTATTTTCATCAAAGTATGACTACATCTGTTGTTGATTTGTTTGTACTCAGTTTAGGAGCAAATTTGGTTTGGGAAATTCGATGTGAGTGTCTTCCACTTGTTCCTGGTTTCACATTCACTCCTTGTGATCTCGTCTTCTCTCATTCCGTGAGTATTTGAAGCACATAATTCAACCAGGTACTCCTTTGGTTTGGTTTGGCTTGGTTTGGTTTGGTTTGGTTTGGTTTGATTTTTTTAAATAAATTGAAGGCATGTAAGTGCGGTTTTGTTACCTGAACGTATTGAGTGGTGATGAAGTCTGGGCTTGTAGTGTGATCACCACCTGAAGAGTGTACATTCTCATTAGGCAAGTCCTCATCCCTCACTCCAGCCCCACTCACCCCAAGCCAAGCACTTCTGTATACATAAAATTAAGGTCTGAAAAGATAGACGCCAAGTTATCAGTAATAATTATCTGTGGGAGTGGGACTTA